CCAGCGACCCTCACAACCCAGCCCACGCTGCAGCTCCTTGTAAGAACAGTAAAATCAGTTTTTATAAATTTATTCTTAGTCCCGGGAGGCTCAGATTAACATGTTTGAGAAAAACCAAAAACGCTCTGTCTCAGAACATTAAGGAAGAATTTTTGCTTAAACATAAGCAAAAGATATTTCCCAAGTATAAAGTGCACCTTTTATAACAGATTCAAAACAAACCCAAGCAACAATAACAAAATTATATTATTTTGAACAACACTTGATTTTATGCAGAAAAGGGAGATAAATGCCTTCACTCCATGACGTGTTTCAAAGCACAGTAAGGTCACAACCCTGTCTGGTAGCTCCTTGGCACACCTGCAGACCCGAAATACTGCTGGAGTGAGGAGCAGGGGCTGCCCCAGCCACCCTCAGCCACGGGAGCAGGTCAGGGAGCAGCAGAGCACAACAGACTCCTGGGGATTGGCACAAACGAACCTGAGCGAGCACGAGAACCCTCCCTGCCCCTGCTACCAGCTCCCGTGGTACCAGAACAATCAGATCCAAAGGGCAGAGGAGAGGCACCCAGGTAGGCACAGAGAGTTCTGCACCCCCCCGTGGCTTCCCCTCGTGCTGGTTTCCAGCACTAACCCAGTTCTGTCCCCAGGCTGGGCCGTCCAGCCCGAGTCTGAACCTCCCCCTCCCCACCTCAGACAGGGAAGCCCAAAGCTCGTTCCCATCTCTGAGTGTTACTGAACCTTCTCCTTTGCACCCCCAGTTTTGTGGGAGGGCTTTTCCAAGCTTTTAGGCTTAATTTAATGAAAGCAGCTTTCCTCTTGGACCTGAGTAAAAGATGAGAGGAAAAAGGTCTTCCTCGTTCACTTTTTCCACTGGACATTCAGCAACGAGTGAACAACCAGTAAGGGAAAGTGGCAAGAACTCTTATGGTTCTGGGAGAGAGAAAGGACAGAGGAGCAGCAGTGGGAGGTGGAGGAGAGGCAGGGGAGGGACGGAGGAGTGGGGGTTCCTGAAGAGCCTGCCGAGCACGGCAGAATGCAGAAGCAACGAGGTGCCCCCGGGCAGGGCCACGGGCAGGGCCACACCACTGGCCCCAGCTGGCCCTTGGGGAGCTCCTCTCAGCACCCAAACAATGGACGTTTTGAGCAGTTTTTGTAGTTCAGTGTAAAATATAACATTCAATGTATCAAAAATACACTATAAAACAATAAAGGCTGCACAGCACTGCAATGCAGTTACCTCCATGGACTGTGGTTCCACTTACAGCAAGAGGCCTGTGGCTCCATCAGCTCTGTGAATACCAGAAGACTCATCTTGGGCTGTGACAGATTCCCCTCTCCCCTTCTTTTGTTTTTGTTTTTAAATGAAATTCCTTTTGCTATTCTTCACGATGCCATCTATGGTTATTTCAAAGTTCTGTTACCTCCCTATATTTTCAGAAGCACTTCCTCCTCATTTCCTCAGGTACTGAAATAAAACCAAAACAAAACACCCTCCAAAAACCTGAGCTGGAAGTTTTTTCTAGCTCGTGCAATATCACGATCACCTTAAGAAGGGATCAGGAGCAGAAGGAACAGTGACACATCTTCAGCACTTCTTCCAATAACGACGAATTGAAATTTTTAAAGTTAGTTTTTGCTACACAGCACCCATACATTCAAAGATAAATGAGAATGGAGTTTGCTCTGCTGCAATAGATTGTTAAGTTTTTAAAAGTCTGTTTGGAATATGCACTTCGTTTAAGTATCCACATTAAAACATCCTGTATTGTAAAATACATCTCTGCAGCGTTCCGTAAGTTCTAACAGTCCATCCAAGTGGCTTTTAAAAGAGTTGCTGCTCAGGGTTTCTCCTCCTCTGGAGAAGCAGACGGAGTAGTGCAGAAGGAGAAGTGTCACTTATCAAAAGCAAGCCTCTGTTTGCAGCTGGCTGCTGCAGCTGGCCGGTGCTCAGCACCCCTCCTGCTGTTCCAGCTCTCCTTCATCGGCGTTAGGTGAGGGGCAACCACGTCACCATCCTGTTGTTAGAAGTCAGACACCGTTAGTGAGGGTACATCCCCTGCTGGTTTATCTAAAGCAGTGGAAAAGAAGCTCTCAGTTATCAGACTTAATAGAAAACATAAATCCAAGGTCCTAAGGAGCATTGTAAATCAGCAAACATTGGAGACTCTGCATCCCAGAGGTTTGCAGTCTTGTTCAGAGGATGTTTTCCACTCAGAGCAAATGGACTGACGCTGAATTTCCTGGGGCAGGGCTGAGTTTAACAGCTGGTGAACGAGGAAGGAAAAAAGTGAAAGCAAGAGAAGAGCTGATCTGACCTCTTCCCTAGATCTTTCAGTCTCTCAATGCTCTTTTAAGCCTTTGTAGGAGGAAATCTGCACCCATGAACCAGCGAGTGCCTGTGTTATAAACACAGGACTTTTCACACGATGTCAGGTGCATCACTGCAAATCCATCACTATTCCAGCAAAACCAGAGCATGCCCAGATAGGTGCAAGCCACAATAAAACCAGAAGCTAGGTCAGGGAGGAGCAGCTCTGCCACAACAAGAAGGCCTGAATGCCAAGTTTTTAATGTCACAGCAAACTTATGGACGACGGTGAGGAGCTCCAAGAGCAAGAAAAACAACAGGTGAATTTGTTACCTGCGGCTTGGTGAAGTCGTTCTCTATGCACCACTGAATTAGATACTGCTTTGCAGCTGAAATGATGTCTGGGTCCTGACTCCTGCAGTAAACCCGGATAACCTGCTCCGCAAACGTCATGGGTAACAGCTTTGAAACCTGTGGAGTAAGAAAAGAGCTTCAGTGTTTCCTGGAACTGTAGGCTGCTGAACTTCAACCTTTCCATGGGAATACAGAGAGCAGTAAAAGCCATCCCACTGCAACCCATGGACTTCATCATCCAAACCAGTTTTATTTTGCTGAGGCTCCCAGTGTACTCCAGTTAAATCCTGTCCGTATAAAGGCTGTCTGGATTCCAGACTGTAGTGCAGCACACACCAGAGACCTGCGAGGACGTGGATCCCACCACCCTGCAGGAACCACCACGAAGGGCTGTAATCCCCCCTCACAAGTGCTGAAGAAGATGCCCTTCAGAAGCCAGCTGGGGAAAATAAAAGACTACCTGATCTTTACTGATCTTGACTGCCTTGGTAGGATCAGCCTTGCAATAGAAGAGAACGTTGTCAATGGGATTCTGTTCCTTCATGCCATAATCCATATTGATGACCTTGCATGGAAAACAAAGAGAATGACATTTGTTGATGTTTGCCTTTGGTTTCTCACAATAAACAGGAAAGGATACACACTATCCTTCTGCAGATGACACTAATCAAATACAACAGTGATTAGCAAATGGTAATTTAAAACTATCTGGTACTTGCATCTTCTGTCTTTTCTCCTGTGACCTTTGTGGGACAAGGAGAGCACAAATCAGCTACCCTGGAGCTAACTCTACCCAGCCTGCAGTGACTCTTCAGCGCAGGGGAGCCCCAGGAGTGGTGTGGATGCACTCTGCAAAGCTGCTCGTTAGCACCTCCCAGGAGTGACCAAGGCAGGGGTTAAGTGATCTGCTCAAGCTCTCTGCTCTGCCACGGGCTGGAGGCTGGGCTGTGGCACCAAGGTGCCCAGTGCCCAAGACAAACCCTGGAGCCCTCCTGGCCCCAGCAGCAGCTCCCTGGCCCCTCAAACCCACAGCTCTCCCTGCTGCCCCTCCCCAGGGTGAGCACTGCCCACCCCCAGCCCAGGGAGGGTGCCCCAAGCCTCTGCCCCAGGCTGGCCCTGAGCCCTGAGCTGGCCAGCCCGGGCAGCATCTCAGGGTTTGGGTTGGTCACTGCAGTACACTGCAGCATTTCTCCAGCTTCACCACGACACACAAGGCCCTCTGGGATTAAGAGGGTTTCACTCTGAACCTGCTCAGAGAGATATTTACATCAATGATGAAATCTTCAGCCTTTAGCTCCACATCTGGAGGATCCTTTTCTGGCTTGGAATTAGCAAAGCTTTCTGCCAGGCTGCTGTTCTGAAAAAGAACCAACAACAACCCAGATTACATTTGTGCACTATCGGGTCTAGATCAAGGCAACAAAACATGACAGAACGTGCCACCAAACACTTTCCTTTCTCCACAGCTTGACACCCTCCTTGCAGCAATCCAGTTGTTTGAATCTCTGTGCACCCATCAGCTTTCCACCAGTTTCTAGAAACAAACCAGTTTCTGTGTTTGAGGAGACCCAAATGCTGCCAGCTGGCAGGGGACGAGTTTTACCCCGATAAGAATGAGAGGGGGAGAGAGAGAGAATCCAAACCAAGGTGTCCAAGTCTCCACAGAAGCAGAAAACATGAACCTTTGAGCAAATGTTCTACTCATACAAATGTTTTGCAGTTAAGTTTCCCAAGGCTGAACACTAAATGCTTTTACTGATTTTTTTTCTTAACGAAGGGTTGCAGGATCTCACCCTCTAATAAAACTTTTATACCTATACATCAGAACATATGAAAAGCCTAAGAGACAGACAAGCTCAGTAGTGTCATTGCTGGCTATAAAAACAAACCAGAAGCAGCAAGCTCCTAGGAAAACTTTGGAGGGGGTGGTGGTCTACTTGGAAAGCTGAAACCCCCCCAGGTTTCTGTCAGGTTCTGCATTGCTTTGTTGTTCTGGCTCTGGCCAGCCTGAGGATCACAAAACTGGGTGGGACTTTGAGCAACCAGGTATAGCTGCAGATATCCCTGCCCACAGCAGGGGGGTTGGACTTGACCTTTAAAGGTCTCTTCCAACCCAAATCCTTCTCTGTTTCTGAATCTAAAGTTATGATACTAAAGCTTCTTGCACCACAGGAGGAAAAGAATTCTGAGTCCCTCAGCTGAGCATCAGAAGCTGCAGAACATTGGCTGCATATGATTGTGGCTCCAACAGTGATCCAGACTCCCTTCAAAACAGCACACTGCAGACCACAAGACTCAGCACCTCTGGCTGGATTCTCAGAGTGAGAGTTCTTTTCATTAACCAAGCTTCCAAAAGGTACTGTTTGAAGGTGGAACTCGTGCAGTTCACTCTCTTGCCCATCTCCTTATTTGTTAGGCATCTATCTTGAACTCTCAACAGTCACTGTACAACCACTTCCACTGAGAGGAAATGGGCTTAAGTGGTGCCAGGGGAGGTTTCAGTTGGATCTTAGGAAGCATTCCTTCACTGACAGAGTGGTGAGGCCTTGGAACAGGCTGCCCAGTGAGGTGCTGGAGTCACCACCCCTAGAGGGGTTCAAAACACGTGTAGATGTGGCACTTTGGGATGTGGTTTAGCAGTCATGGGAGTGCTGGGTTGACAGCTGGACTTGATCTTAGTGGTCTTTTCCAACCTTAATGATTCTGTGATTTCACTTCTTCCTTCCTCCTACTTTTTAACAGTGCACTTCTTAACACTACTTCCTAGCCAAGGAATACAAGCAAACCTCCTTGAACAAAAAGATGAACAGAGCAGCAAGACAACCAGTAATCTTTCTCTAACCTTATTCTTTAAAGGAGATTTATTATTTGTACTAAGACTATTTTTTTTATTTCTAGATACAGTCAGCCACTTCTGGAAATTTGGCAGGGAAGATTTTAAGTGTTGTGGCTGAAATTAGAGATAATGAACTGATGATTTGCCAACACAGTCCAGAGCATTACGAGAAGAGCTGAGCCACCCGAAGCAACGCCAGCCCCAGTGTCACTTTATTCTGAAACAAGACAAGAGTGGTTGAACTCCTGAAGCCTGACGAGTGCTCTGGAAAGCAAACACTGGGAAAAACACGTGTGCTCACACCAAGTATAATAACAACAAAAAATTCAGAAGTTATTATTCACTTTGACATTTCTTACCAAGGCAAAACACACAAATTATGATTCAAGGTGGATGTGTTCCTTATTGTTCTGAAATCTTAATGAACACAAGATGAGCTGTAACCCTCTTAATGACTGGGACTCAACAGCTTCTTACACAGTTCTGTATTTTTCAGAAAACGCTTTTCTCCTGAAAAATATTTCTGCAATAATCAACTTCTGAATTTCCACCTCTTGTCATTCTTCTGGCTACTTGTAGATAAAACTCCTCCCAGTTTCCTGTAATATGCAGCTACAAAGACAGGGTGAGAACTTTTGACTATTTTTGGAAGAGCAGTTAAGAAAAAAAAACCCAAAACGCATGAAGCCACATGGAGACAAAAAAAGACAGTCAGCAACTTAGAGAACATTGTTACAGGAACACAATTCAGAACCTCCCACCAACAGGCATTACCTTCACAATGTTCCTCATTGTTTCAGGTCGAGTCTCTCCTAAAAACTTGTACAACTCCCGTCGTTCTATTTTACGCAGAATTTCTCGTGCCTCCTTCAGCTCTGGACGACTGGAGTGCAGGATTTCCAGGTAGATATTATCTGCCAAGGTCGCATTGCTTTTTGTTAGTATGGCACAGTCCAGTGTCACAGCAAAAGCAGGGACAGGGACGGGTTAAAGGAGAGGAGCTGCTGGCTCAGGGAAGATCCACTTCCAAAGGACTGAGCCGCCGCTTTCCGTGTCATCTGGGTTGTCCCCAGATCCATGGCAGCTGCTGACAGCACGAGCAGCTCCCTTCTCACCCTCACAAAGCTTCACTACTTCACTGGGAGCTGCCTCCTCCTCTTCCTTAGCCAGTCTGGCTCAGCAGAACGTTCTAAACCCAGCACTGCCTGGCTCAGGGACAGGGGAGCTCTGTCCTGCAGAGGAATCAAGTGCTCCCGTTACTAGAACTGGGGGGTGCTGTCAAAGCAGGAGCCAACAAATCATAGAATCCTTTAGGTTGGGAGAGACCTTTTAAGATCAAGTCCAACCATCAAGCCAACACTACTGAGTCCTCTGCTAAAACAGATCAGAAGCTGTCAGGGTTGGAAGGGACCACAAGGATCCCCCAGTTCCAACCCCTCTGCCATGAGCAGGGACACCTCCCACTAGATCAGGCTGCCCAGAGCCTCCTCCAGCCTGGCCTTAAAGACCCCCAGGGATGGGGCCTCAACCACCTCCCTGGGCAACCCATCCCAGGGTCTCACCACTCTCATGGGGAAGAACTTCTTCCTCACATCCAGCCTGAATCTGCCCACTGCCAGCTTTGCCCCATTCCCCCATGTCCTGTCACTACCCAAGAGCCTAAGAAGTCCCTCCCCAGCTTTCTTGTAGGCTAGGCAATTCTTCTCCCACCATGGAAGACAGCCAGGAAACTCTCTGCTGCAGAACCTCACAGAGGTTTATCATTTGCAGAGACCCAAGAGGCAACTGGACAGCTCCACAGAAGCATCCCTCATCTCAGACTGCTGGAAACAAGCCACTGGCCTCTCAGAAGCCCCCAGGCTGCAACCACTGGAGGCAGGGAAAGAAGTGCCTTGGTTTAAGGTAGGAGAACATACTCATCCTCTGTGGCCCACTGTTTCATGTGATGTTGGCATACTCCTGGTATCACTCTCCTTGCTGTTCAGCTCTCCTCGTTGAACAGGACAGCTGTGGCAAGAAGCCCCTTGCTGCAGCAGAGTCCTGTCTCCTTGCCCTGAGCTGTGCCCCCCACCAGGCTCTGCAGGTCAGCAGCCACTTACAAGAGGACCCTGGTGCCACCTTCCAGCACAGCTCATCCTAGGGACCAGACAGCCCCACGGAATGGATCCTAGCCCACCAAGAACTTCACCTCAGCTCTTGCCTTTCTGCCCAGCCCTCCCTGGCCCAGCACTGCAGCTCCTGGTCCTGCCCCCCAACCCAGCCCCTTCTCCTCCCCAGGGCAGGGGCAGGGCCAGGCAGCAGAGCAGGGCTGTGGTCAGGCTGCACAGGGCTGTGCCAGGGCTGCCAGCAGAAGGCCTTTAGCACAACACAGGTCAAGGCACACAGGATCTGCTGCAACAATGCCCACAGCCTGTCCCACAGCCTTTCAGCAATAAAATAAATCATTGTATATTCTGTTTCCTTCTGTTATATTCGCAGGGTACCGATGTCTCAAACAAATCCAGTCAGACCCACCAGAACCTTGGAAACCTGCTTTGGGGTTCCCATGACACTACAGCACACACACAGTACTTCTCTACCCAGTGTAGCCAGACGTGGTGTCACCCAGAGCTGACGTGTGCCAAGGGCAGCAAACTCAGGGCACAGACAGGACCTCCCGACAGCAACTGCTTCCAATAACCTCAATTTTGGTGTATGTGGAATGTAAGAATTTGGTGCCTCTCTCTCAACACAGAGGCAATTTAAACGAGGTGTCGCTCCCCCAGCAAGAGCAGAGACCAGCTGGCTCAGGTCTGCTCCTCCTCCTGTGCACACAAGCAGCTCTCCAGAGCCCTGGGCAGGGGCCCAGCGTGCCAGCAGCTCCAACACCAGCCCTTCAACGGGCCCACGTCCTCCTGCTCAAAGGGAAAACTGTAACTCTGAGGGCTCATACCAGTTAGCTTAGTGTAGGCTTCCATGTCCTCCATCGCTGTAGAAATCTGGTACACCTTCCCTCCAGAGCCTTCTATCTTTACAAACTTGTCTGCTTTTTGGAAGGCTTCTGTAATCCTGGTTGGAGGCAAACCAAGAGTGAAGGACAGACAGCACTGCTTCGAAACGTCGCCCAGGAGCCAGGAGAGGCATCAGCACGTTGGCAGTGGAGCAACAGGTCAAACTGCCTCCCAGGCAGGCAGCAGAGCTTGGCCCTGCAGCATGTCCCATCCCCACACTGTCCCTGCACGTTCCAGCAGGGCTTCACTCCCTGAGAGCAGGCTGAGATCAGACCTTAACCTCCCAGTGGGAGCAAGCCCACGGCTCTGCCCCAGACCAGGGGGTAACGCTGCTTAAGTGCCTGCAGAGCCCTGCAAGACAGTGCCATGGCCACTCACTGCAGTGGGGCCTCCTCAGGGATGGCATGTCCTTTTACAGACCCTGTTCCAGGAGTTAACTGGGAGAACATGAAGTGTTGTAAGGGTGAAGCATCACAAACATGGGTGTCTTCAGGTGGGAAAAACCAGTGTTCTAAAGATCAGGTGCTTCTAGAGCTCCCTGTACCTTGCCATTGTTTCCAGCTCACACACTCATTTGAATGGGCTGCTGTGATTATGGCAGGCCAAGACATAAATTTCTTGGCTGTTTTACTCCTCACACGTAGATATTGTCAAAACTTGGCATTTTTAGTCTGAGTTCTAGAGAATCACTAAACCCATGCAATGAAAGCAGTCACTAGTCACTCTTGTACTGGGCAATCCTCTGCACTCCTTTCCAAACTTGGCAGGTGGTTACCTGGCAGCCAGGTTCCCAGTGAAGAATATTAGGGGATAGTCATATTTCTGCTTTAAAGACAAGTGAAAAGGATAATGCTATAGAAAAGCTTCTACAGACATCAACAAGAGTGGCAGAAGTGCAGGGAGCCAGCTGAGCCGGCCCTCAGCAGCTCCTGCTGTGGCATTACAGAAGCCCAGTGAGGCCTCAGCTGAGCTCCAGGGAGGTTGCTCCTGGCTGTACTGCTGTAACCTCACTGTTCACCCGTGGGTTTGAGCTAAGGGATCCCCACCTTGCAGATAAAGACTTGACTTCAGGCACCTGCAGTTAAAACAGCATCAGCACACCCTGGTCCTGGGCTTTGTCAGCCCTTCAGTCATTCTCCCAGTTGAATTTCACGTGCAGGGACGTTGCTGTCCTCCTCTCTTTTGGGTTTTTTTTGGTTATATCCTACATAGCTCTACACAATAACTCTGTCTATAGGACACTCTAAGCATTATGCCTTGCCCCAAGAATTGGCTTATATGGCCCAATGGCTTTTACTGTGCCACACCTTACTGATTATCTGAATATTCCAAGCAGACAGACAGTTTCAAGAATTAAAAGATAAGCAGAATGCAAGAAGAGGAAAGTGCAATACTTGCATGATCTCAATGATGTTGCCAGTCTTGTGCTGGTACGCTCGTCGGTGCAGCCAGTTCCGTGTGTGGAACATATCATACAAGTTCCCAGCTTCCTGAGTCAAGAAAAGCCAATCATCTTTTACTGCTGACATTGTCTTAATTGGAAAACTAAACAATCAAGGAATCAAATCAGGAGTCTTCTTCCATTTGCAGCACAGAGCAGAACAGTTACATTCCAGAATTTGCAAGTTTAGGGGCAGACTCAGGCTGCTGTGGGAGAGCAGAGACCTGAGCAGGACCCCAGGCACCCGGGGCAGAGAAGGGGTCCTGGGCTTGCTCCTTTTGCAGCCCTCACCAAAGCCACATTCACCAGAAGACCTGGAGAGAAGCATGCATGGCTGATGGCTGGAAGAGCCTCCCCTGGAAGCCCTTTCAAAGAGCAGCTCAATGTCCCTCCCTCCCTCAGATGAGTTGCTTCTGAGACCAGCTTTCAGAGCAGCAACTACTTCTTCCTCTCCTGGGCTAAAAAAGCGTCCCCCAAGCCCTCCTGCAATGCAGGGCAGCTGCCCGAGTGGGCTCTGCCATGTCCCAGTGCTCCCAGAGCCCAGGGGCCTCCTCCTCCTGCTGCTGCTTCCCCACCTGCTCTGCTCACCTTGTCCCTGGCACAGATGTGCTTCTGGTTTTCTGCCTCACACACCCGGATGAATTTCAGCAGCCGCTTGTAGTCGAAGTTGTTCTGGATGCCCAGGTGGTGGCAGTCCCTGCAGACATGGCACAGCTCAGCAGGGCACACGGGGCAGCTCTGCCCTGGCAGCAGCTCTGCCCTGGCAGCAGCTCTGCCCCAGCCCCAGCCCCATCCCCCCCCAGGACAGGTACCTTGCAAAATAATCCCACTTGTCCACGTCGATGCCGTTCGTTTTGTTAGCCACTATCTCATAGAGGAAACTCTTCTCCCTCTGCCGACCACGGTAGGGCCACTAGCCACAGGGAGCCAGGGAGAAACAAACCCAGGGACAGTGAGGAGTTAATGGGTGCAAACGAGCCAGAAGGACCTCCAAGGACAGCAGGCATACACTTTGGTTTTGCCTGTGACAAGCACCCAACACCGAGGCTGCAAAGGGCACTAAGACAATAAAAGAGCTTTCAGCAGCTGCTGGGCAGTGGAAATCCAGAACTAGGGCTGAAGCAGCTCATTTGCCAGAATATTGGGAAGAACAAAACCCAGGCACACGAGTATTTCATTTCCCATTCTCCTAGAGCAAAGCCTGCAGCTCTGAAATGCTTCCCCCCCTCCCCAAACAGCACAGCAACAGAGGAGCAAAGGATGGAATAATTTACTTCTCATGGAATCAGTCAAACCCGAAACCACATCTGCCTTGCAGTCTTCTGTACTCAACTATACAACTTCATAAATGGCTTTTGTGTTATCTGCATGACACCAGCATTAAAACCAGTCTGGATAAGAACAGGAGCACGTGTGAGCAGCAGGAGCAGAACACAGCATAGATAAAAATCTCCTGTGCTGATCAGAGTCCTGCCACTGGGCCAATGTTCAGGGCACAGGTCACGTGCACCACACACAGCCTGATGTTCACCTCAGGACCAGCACAGGAGAAACAACTGCTGGCAGAAGATCCTGCAGCCTAACCCCAGGAGGGTGGTGAGGAGGTTGCCACGTCTCTTGTATGACACCCCTTCTCCCATTGTCCTGATGGAAAACAGGCATGGAATCCAAACTAGGATAAACAGACATTGGGCAAGAACCTGGCACGACATCAGTGGAAGTGGCAGGCAGCAAGACTTGTGTGCAAAAATCAACCTGCAGACTTTGTCAATTAACATCCACTTCCTCTAGGAACTCAGGCTGAATTCTATTATGCTTTGCCATCAGTGCTTCTGCACATGGTAGAAAGACACACTGGGACAGCAGGAGGCCATGGGCAAGTGCCAACACTTGTGGGCAATTGGTCTGGGACAGTACACAAATTCTGATTAGGGCCAGACCCATCACAGATCTCCCACTGAGGGTTCTTAGTGCTGGCAGCAACTGAACGGGTGTCCTTGAAGAGAGGACAAGAGCTGTAGAGTGAGGAGAGAGGACAGTGCTTTCAGAGTTGCAAGCATCAATGCTCAGGACCTCTTCCTCCTCGCCTCTTGAGGCAACACGTTTCTTCAAGTCTCATCCTCCCCCACGTTTGCTGCTGCAACAGATCCAAGCATTTCCCCACTGCACAGCTGAGGCAGCTCTGGCAGCTGGGCCCTGCTGCCCACTGCCCACCTCTGCCAGGCCTCAGTGCTGCCACCCGTGATCACACCACCCTAAATTATCTCCATCACCTTCATATGGCCACCCAAAAACACGGCCCCCCATGGCCAGCACCTCCAGGCTCCCAGGAGGCAGGCTGGTACCCTAGCCTGGTCAGTTAAGGTTCCCACTAAAAATTCAGTTGTGCTGAGCCAGTCACACTGAACTAGGCTCACCAAGTGCAGGCAATGGCCCTGCACTCTTCTCTCACCTGAGGACTCTGAGGACAGAGCTCCTCAGGAGGATTGAAGTACATAAGAGAGTGAAGCTGCCACCTCCTGCCAGCACTGCAAGAAATACACCCTGCACTTCTCTAGCACCCTGAGCAAGGATTCTCAGAAATTCATGGGGCTAAAGATAATAAAGCAGAAGCAAAAATGATCAGCTCTTTTCATAAGGCTGGGGACACTGTGCCAGCCACAGACAGCCCCTGACTCACCGCGCGCTCGCAGGCGGTGCCGTCTATGGGCCCCCCTATCTGCTCCTTGATGAAGTTCATGTCCTCTTCCAGGACAAGACCATACGACTTCATGACTTCTTCTAGTTTATTGGCACTGATCAGGTGCTCAAACATTTCAACTGAAGCAGTTTCATGCTGTGAAAAAAAAAAAAACACACCTAAATGTTGCATTACAAAGTTGAAGCATTTCTCCTGCCCTGTCACAGCTTTCTCCTCACCAGCAGCACTGCTGGTGGGAAAGGGCAGCACCTGGGTGATTTCTGTCCATTTTGTATGGAACCCAGCAGGAACTCAGCCAGCCTACAGGGTCCAGAAACACTCTCCAGAGAAACACACTCTCTAGAGCTGTTCACTTTGCATCTTAACAGCAGCAGCAAGACAGTTACAATGCTAAAAGACAAAATAACCAATTCCACTGTGCAGAAGACTAACCAGCAGTGAGAACAAGCAGAGAGAGGCCTGGAAGAACTTTGTTACATTACCTGCTTCATTCCTAGCAAACAACCCTTGAAACTGTTAAAAGTCTCTGAATGTTTAAACTCTAAACAGTGTATTAAATATCCTGGTCTTGGACTAAAATTGTGAACTGGGAAGGAAGCTCCCAGATGGTATTTTGCATCTGTAAAATACATTCTGAAGAAAGGCTGATGTTCCCTGTGCAAAGAGTCAAAGAGAACAAGGAAATCATCACAAGACTAGAAGACAACATCCTGTTTTTTAATTCTGGCATCAAACCAATGCAGTAAGACAAGGCTAGATGATCACTATATTCTCACAAGTGCTGGCAGTCTTTAAAGGCTAATTATTCTCCCCTCAAGGTTTCAGTTTCCTGTTTTTACTTTCACAGGGAAAAGCCTACCTTCCATTTCAAATCTGGACGAGCCAGTGGAATAAATCTCCCATCAAACATGTGTGAAAATGGCCCGTGACCTTGAAAACAAAGATTGCACAGGTTTAGTCTGAGACATGGCTCCCAGTAAAAATCAGCACTACTGCACTGAACACAGCCTGTTCCACAACACTGAGCATCAATCACTCTGTGCCAGCTCTGAAGAAATAAGTAGTTATAAAATAGTCAGAACAGTTTTTGAAAGGGTCACTCTGAAATGTCTGAGAGACCCGAGGACACCACAGAAGGAAGCAGACACTCTGCAGCCAAGGGCAGGACTCCAAGCACCACACAGAAACAAGCCAAAAACGAGCCAAGAGTGGCCACAGATTCACCAGATGGAGCTGCCTCCATAGATGTACCCTGGACCAAAGAGGAACAGCCCAAAACAGCTCTCACGTTCTGGTCTCACAGCCAGGTTAGCTCTCCACGAGCCACCCCGGGTGTTGCTTACCCAGGTCATGGCAGAGCCCAGCGATTTCCACGCAGAGGATGTCCCGCGGGGTGATGTCCAGCTCTGGCTGCCTCTCCCTCAGTTCACGAACCAGACATCCTGCCAGGTAGCCCACCCTGTCACAGAGGGAAAGAAAAAGAAGAAAATACAAAGAAGGTGAACGTAGAAGTGTTTCAGGCTGAACAAAGAGAGCAGCTCACCTACTCACTGCTCCATGAGCCCACAGCCCCTGCCTGAGGCAGCACGCAGCCACTGCTCACACCCTGCCCTGCAAGAGAATCACAGGCCACCTCCTGTGGTAGTTCAGCCATCAGCAACACACCTGAAAGCAAAAAAGCAGGAGCTGCCATGACCCAAGTGTGGGGACAGCATCCTCCTGCAGCACTGTGCCACGGTGCCCAGCAGTGTCCCTGGGAGCCCCAGGGCCCCCCCAGCCCCCAGCCTGCCCAGCTCCACAGCAGCCACCAGCCCGTCACAGAGCAGGGACAAACTGCTGCTTGAACAGCTTGTGACAGTTGCTCCTCTGCCCTTCTCTGACTGCAGGTTTGACATTCAGTTCCACTGGGACCCCCTGTTCTGATGATACAAAGCCCAGGGACCAACACCTGGCACACACTCCTGTAACTGTTTACAAGCTCTGCACCAACTTCCTTTCCTCCCTGCCTCAAAAGTCCCCCTTGCAGAACTCCCTGAAGCAAGACAAGGTTTAATGAGACAAGGGAGTGTCTTCTATTAGAGCAAATTTCACTGTTTGGTGTTTTCTTACCAGCCCCCTGAGCACACAGAGCTCACTTCTCCACTTCAACCCTGTAGAAATCTTTGATACAAGTTGAGAACCATCCTAAGCTGAACCATGCAGGTTAACTGAGCTGTTTAAAAGAAAAGGTGGTTGTCATCTTTCAGGCTCCTGTTGTGAAAGCTTTGTTTATACCCCTCATATTTTTGTCTTGTCAGGTTTACCAGCTGCAGTCAATTCCAGCTTGTCTCCCTCATCTGACCTTTCTCATCTCGTCACAGAGCAGGGACAGAAGCCAGACTTACTCCACAACATTTCATCACTAACAAAAGCAACTTCAGGCTGCCTACATCACCCAAACAGAAACCACTGACCAATTTAATTTCTCTGCACCCTGGCATATACCTTTCAAATGAGCTTCAATTTGTCATTAATCAGCTTCTCTGTGGAATGTGAACAACCCAGCAACAATCTGGGAATCCTCAGTCTACCATGGATTGCACAAAGCACAGAGCTCCAAAACAAACACTACAGATAAAATGGGTCCTAGCTGTGCTGGACACTAGAAGGGGATTACAGCTCTCTGGCAAGTCACTTAGAGCAGCCCTTCCCAGGGTTACCCTTTAAAACTCAAACTCTGACCACAGAGAACAGAAAGCACTCACGGGTTTTAATTAACATTATTCTTAGGAGGAGGGGCAGGAGAGGAAACCTAATGTTGATCCATCTTGAAGGTTTCTTTATCTGCCTTCACTGAATGAGTTCCAAGGGACCAGGTCACAACCACAGGACGCCCAGGAAGATCTGCGAGACCCAGAACGGCCCCGGAGCGGCGGCGCTGCCCCCGGGCTGGCAGCCCTGCAGGCTGGCAGAGCCCAGGGGGGCAGC